AAGGGCATGGGCCACAATGGTTTCTGGTGCATTCTCCCTGGCAATGCCTCGGCCAATTAGAACCAATTACTAGCTTTTTCTGTTGCAGTATGGATTATTGCTTCTTTTCAAATTTTGACATTCTTGCATTTGTCCTGGTGGGTACAAGATAAAAAGTTTTAACAGCATGTCTCTCTTTTTAGCAACAGTTAATCTCTTTCCTATCAAAAATGAGAATCTTTGCAATTTGCTTCAGACCGAATCATATAGACAGTGGTCATCAGCAATAAAAGCTAACTTTAACGCAAATCTTATAAACCCAGAGGAATTTTCAATGAAACATCCAAAACTCCAAGAAAATTGAAAATCCACTTGATTTCTTACAACTTGCTCTTCAAAGGACAATTTATGCAAATTGTTACCACCATCAATAAATACCATAATTGCTGTCAGTATAATTGAAAATCAATTAAATACGACTAGATGGCCAATTATGTAAATAATGTGTGGAAGCATCAATCAGTTAAAATAAAATTACACAAGATTATCTAAGTGGTGGCCTTGCAGCAAAATACATATGTTTATACTTTTATCATAAAATGTTTGAGTAATGCTATGACATGATAGAAGTGTGCAATAAATTACATGTTTGATGGATTATAAATGGTATATCAACGTATCAATATTTATTAATATGAGGGTGATCTCTATAAGTGGGGGCTTGAGTCAAGGAGCAATATGTTCGATAATTGCCCACTCACACCCTGTTAAAAGAGACATTCCAACCGAAAGCAACTGAGGGTAGCTGTCACTAAGGTGAAGAAAATCTGACAATGAGAGTTAAATTTGGCCCCCTTTTCTCAGCTAAACCCTGATTCGGATGGCATTGTGCCAACATATGTTTCAACACCAGAGGTTCTGCTGGGGGTCTTAACCCACCTGCGGGTGCATAATAAGCCAATAAAAGCAGGAAAATTGTGGGTTTCATCCTAGTCTGTGTTGAACTGGTTTCTTGCTGTCAAAGTGGCAATGTAGGTTGTAAGATTATCATCAGCGATTTCTATCTGGAAAGGATTTAGGTGTGCAGAGAGAAGTGATTGGAAACCAGGTATAGTAAGTACCTTGTGGAACTGGGAAAGAAAATAGATTAAGCTACTTTGCCGATCTTCGTGGTTCATCATCACAACAGATGGCACACCTATCTATAGCGCTACTGGGTTGACCTCATGGTGTTGCTACAAAATATCAGAATGTCTTCATGATTGGCCATATTTGTGGCATCATCAATTCTTTTCATAAAGTCAGGATAGAGAGACTGCAGATCCTGGAATCCAAGGTAGACAAACAGGAGGCTGGAAGAACACAGCAAGCCAGGCAGCATCTGGAGGAAAGGAGTAATCAATGTTCCGGGTAATACCCTTATTTGGGATTGTCTGCAGTCCTAATGAAGGGTAATACCCGAAACGTTGATTATTTCTAGTCCTGGCTAATGGAACAAAATCCAAGAGCTCCTTTTCTTGTTAGAATCATAGAATCCCTGCAGTGTGAAAGTAGGCCATTCAGCCCATCGAGTCCACACCAATCCTTTGGTGGGCATTCCACCCTATTCCTGTAACAGTGCATTTACCATGGTTAATCCATCTAGCCTGTAATCTCTGGTCACCACGGGCAATTTAGCATGGCCAATCCACCTAATTTGCACATCTTTGGACTGTGGGAGGAAACCCACACAGACACAGGGAGAATGTGCAAACTCCCCACAGACAGTCGCCCGAGGGTGGAATCAAACCTGGGTCCCTGGCGCTGTGAGGCAGCAGTAAAAACCATTGACCCACCGTGCCAGGTTGTTGCCATGAACCTGGTGATATCAATCAGAGGGCAGCAAGTAAGGGTAATGCAATTATCATAGTTGTCTGCTGCCTGCAGCAGCACACAATCAATAAAGCCTGTTTATAAGGCACCAGTGTCATGCTGCACTAACTGCAAATAGGACCTCAGTTTAGGGAAAGGTATCTGCATTAAGCAGCATAGAGAGGATGTTTTTTCTACCCTTCTTGATTTTTAAGACCATGGGAAAAGAAGAATGTGCTCCGGGCAGGAAGAGTATCTTTGTCAGCCATTATAATAAACTAAAAAAAACAAATACTTCAGTTTGGAACACAGAAATGAGCTAAACTGCCTCAAGTTGACACCTCCACAATTAACGGTTGATGGAAGAAACTAAGATAAATTGGAGAAACCTTGCTCCCTGCTCCCTGTTAAAGGATAGATAGGAAGGAACCTTTCTTTTCAGTACAGGGATCAATAACCAGGAAGGGTAGAATTATGGTAAAGGCAGAAGGTTCAAAGGGGTTGCAGGGAAGAATGTTTTCACCCAGAACGTAGTTTGTGTCTGGAATTGCCCAAATGTGTAGTAGAGGTGGGAACCATCACAACATTTAAGAAATATTTAGATGATTATTTGAAGCACCAAAGCAGACAAGACTACAGGTCAAGTGCTGGAAAATGGGTAATAATCAGCATGGACATGATGGGCTGAAGGGCCTCTTTCCATGCTGTAAAACTCTATATTTGATTGAGGAATAAGCATTGTGTTAGACTCTATGGAGAACTCTCCTGCTGTTCTTCAAAAAAGTGGCATGGCATCTTTAATAGATATCTGAGAGAGCTGCCAGGACCTTTAATGCCTCATCGAAAGACAGCACCTCATGCAGTGTAGCATCATTAGAGTATTGCAGAGGAGAGTTGTCCTTGGTTTTTATGCTCAAGTCCTGAGTGGGACTTGAATCCATAACCTGGTGTCTCAGAGGCAAATCTGCTACCATAGCTAAGCGAAATAAAAACCAGATAACCAAAGGCCAGACTCCCACAGACTGAGCTGTATAGACTGCATAAACTCAGGCTTTATGTCAAATAAATGGTTCTCAACTGGGGAAATATTTAGTGTCCTACAGTGGACTTCCATTTAATATATGTATTGATCAGCAACCAGTGATACCAACCACCTCTCCCTCAACCCCCATCTTCTGCTTTAATACACAGACTTGAACATAGGATAAGGACATGGGCTGTATCAGCTGCTTTTGAGGAATGATGAGAGGTGTGGGGAGAGAGTCAGGAGTCACATAAGAAACTACACCCAATCGACGTTTTCAAATTAAGCAAGTAGAAGGGCAAAAATATAACACAGGCCTCAAACAAAACAGCTCAGATGTGAACAGCCGTACTGATTTATAATCCTGGGAAAATATCCCTGAATCTTTTCAATTGAGCAGTCCTTTGGGAAATAAGAACATAGCAGGTCAGGAGCACTTTTATTAAATGTGTGCTATGTAAATGTTCACTTATGGACAGGTTCCAGCAAAGGCACAAACCAGGTCAAAACAGAAATCTCGTCCCTTTGCCGATTGTGTGTTCTTGCTCAGCCTCAGTGCTCAAAGAAGCAGCATGTCCACGAGTCCTTCATTTCCTAACAACCTGTCACTGGATTAGTGCCAAGGTCCGCAATGCTACTTTTAAATTTCTACAGAAGAGCATTCAACCTCCTCACTAGTGTATTCACCTAGTCACGAGCTTTGGCTTTAAATAAATGAGAACATTTCTGCTCCATTTTATTTTATTCCTTACAGCTAAATCCATGCCCAGTGTCTGCTATTTCCTCTTTCGCCTTGTTACTGTTGAACACATTGGTTCACTAATGGCCTTTAGGGAAGAAAATCTGCCATCCATACCTGGTCTGGCCTACATGTGACTCCAGGCCCACAGCAATGTGGTTGACTCTTAACTGTCTTCTGGGCAATGAGAGATTGGCAATAAGTGCTGGCCCAACCAGAGACACCCATGTTCCATGTGCGAATACAAAATAAATTACATAACCATAATACGATGGAGAGTGGTTAATCAGGGTGCCAGTACATTTTGCATCAGTGGTATTTTTGATTTTATAGTATGAATAACTTTTATTGTCATGTATTTTACATGAGTACAATTCTAATTTTCCAACGTTCAAACAAATTGTCCCTTATTCCGACTTTTGAAGGCAATGCTCCTGGAATGTGGTTTACAAAGACTCAGATACTAACCATATTTTCATATACTCCACCCTAGTGGCTAGGCTTTGCCTACACAGTATGCAGCCAATTGTGGGAGAATCCACAGGTTTAAAAAGTGATAAGGAGCAATGGCTCCTGATGATGTACCTTTAATCTAGCAATGGTCAATTAAAACAACTACACTGCCTTTCTCACTGACTAGGCTCAAATTTCAAATATTCCTCCATACAAGACATTTAAGGTGAGAGGCGAAAGATTTAAAAGGGATCTAACATTGTCATGCAGAGCATGGTGCATGTATGGAATTAGCTACTAAAGGAGGTGGTGGAGGCTGATACGAATATAATATTTCAAAGGCATCTGGATGGGTACATGAGATGTAGAGCTGGATGAACACAGCAGGCCAAGCAGCATCAGAGGAGCAGCCTTCCTGCTCCTCTGATGTTGCTTGGCCTGCTGTGTTCATC